CAGTGAGGATGAGAATGGAGGAGGCCTCCAGGGTGCCTGGTGGATCCTCAGGCATGGCCGCCCAGCCTGAAGGTGACTGAACAAAGGTGCCCCGCAGCATCTCAGCTGCTACCAAAGTGACTGACTTCCTGTGTGTGTTGTTTGTGAGCCCCTGGGGGCTTCCGGGGCTCCATGAACTTCCTTCCACTTCAATAATGTGTTTGCTTTTTCTTTTGAAGACAGTGAAGGGAAATAATGTTCATAATAAAGAACCAAGATCTCTTGTAAATATAATATAAAGTACAGAACGTTCTGCTAAGATATTTTTCTCTTCCCACGTTTCTCTTTATGTTGTACCCACATTCCACAGCAAGAGAACAGCTAGTTGCGGATTGTGTGTTGGCATTGTTATTATAATTACAGAAACTCTGGGGAGCAAGAAATACATGCAGTGTTGCTTTACTGAGAAGTTCAATAGCAAGAATATCATGAAGGTCAATTAGCAGAGGCCACTATCGCTGCCAGAAGAGAAGCACAAAGGGGAAAAGTTAGGGCAAGGAAAGTGAGAAAGGAAGAGAGAAGAAACACAAATAAGCAAGAGGCAACATCCAGGAGGGCAGCTATTTGCGAAAGAGAGGGTTTCATAGGTTCTATTCAAGGAGATCTATTAAGGTCCCCTTAGAGGAAGTCCCATAAACAACAGCACCTGGAAGAAAATGAAACAGACATGCTAGTTATTCATAATCAAGCATTCTACTGAATTTGCTTATTGACGTTCAATCCATAGAACACAGGCACTGGCATTGTCCAGGAGCTTACTAGAAACAGAATTACAGACCCATCTAGATCTATCTTCCGCTTCCAGATTAGTCTAGATTATAATCTGGAAACTCAGAATCTCCATGAGACTGTCCAAGAGACCCACATATACACTTGAGGTTGAGAAGCACAGACCCAAAGAACGTTTGGGTTTGGTTGCAGAAGGACAGCGAATGTGGAGTATGTGAGTCCCCAAAGGCCAAAGGACATCTGGAAGAAGTCAGAAGCCACAATGATTTGTGGTGTAACCGGCGGGGAATTGTCCTCTGCTGACAGGAAAGCAAAGCAGACAGCAGTGTGTGAATTCTCTTCCCAGCCAGTTGGTGTGGGACATGTTGAATGAAGAAGCCTCAGTTTCCCCTTGTCGGTGCTCTGAGAAGCTTCATGTTAGCTGTCCTGTCTTACATCTTAAACATTCCTGAAATTTCCTGGGCTCTTTCAGAGAATAGGAAGTTAACAATTTCCCTAATCACAGATTCTAATCCAGACCTTAAACTCAATGAAAACTAAGAGATAACAGGCAAAATCGAGACAAATGGTCAAACTGATTACCAAAAGTCTTCAGACTAGCCAGACTGTTCTGTAAAATCCTCTCATTCTCCCTAATATTCTTGTCATTATTCTGTATTGCGGATTCACTACCAGGATCTCACCATTCTACAAAGAAGTGATCGTTGATGTCAAGAGAGGGGTGCGGCAGGGTGATACGATTTCACCGAAACTCTTCAGTGCCACCCTCGAGAACATCATGCGACGACTAGAATGGGAAGGAATGGGAGTGAAGATAGATAGTCGGCAACTACACCACCTCCGCTTTGCTGATGACATTGTTTAATAACACCAAACATCAGCCAAGCGGCACAAATGCTGGCCGACTTTGACCGTGAGTGTGGAAAGGTAGGACTACAGCTGAATCTTACGAAGACAATGTTTATGAGAAACAGCCTTGTTCCTGACACCCCATTTGCTCTCAATGGAACTACCATCTCCGAATGCAACAGCTATGTGTACCTAGGTCGAGAGGTCAACATGAGAAATGACCTGGCACCCGAGTTGCGCAGGAGGAAGAGAGCGGCTTGGAACGCCTTCAAGAACGTCGAAGAAATAGCTAAAAGGACGAAGAACCTCCGGCTCCGGGCACATCTCTTTGATTCCACTGTTCTTCCTGCATTAACATATGCCTCAGAGACCTGGGCCCTACGCAAACAAGATGAGAACGCTATTCAGGTCTCCCAAAGAAGAATAGAAAGAGCTATGCTTGGAATATCATGTTTTACTCAAATGAGAGAACGAATCCGGAATTCTGACATCCGTCGACGATCAAGGATCAGGGACGCTGTCTCATTTGCCAAGGTGTCGAAAATCAGATGGGCTGGTCACGTAATGAGATTTAAAGACGACCGTTGGACTAGAGCTGTTACTGACTGGATTCCACGGGATGTCAAGAGACCGCGTGGCCGCCCACCTACCAGATGGTCAGACTTCTTCGTCAAGATCATGAACGATTGGTTTGAGGCCCTTCATGTTCCCGGAGCGAACAGATGCCATTGGGCTACACTAGCACGCAACAGGGACAAATGGAGACGTTACTGGCGCCCGCTCGAGCAAATCGACGACTAACGGGAAGTTAAGTTAAGTGATTAAGTGATTCTTGTCACTTGATCAGTAACATAAACCTAGAGGCCCAATTTTCCTACACACACACACACACACACACACACACACAAAACCAAACTTAACTTAGTCTTATACTAAGTTCGTCCCTGGCTAGGGAATTTCTTTGTTTTCTACTTTCCAATAAAATGTTCTATCTTTCCAACTCTGATAGTAATCTTTATTATTGAATTTTTTATCCTTAAAATGTTAAAGGACCTGGGTCCAGAGCGATAGCTAACGGGTAGGGAGTTTGCCTTGCACGCAGCTGACCTGGGTTCGATCCTAGGCTTCCCATATGTTCCCCCAAGCACCACCAGGAGTAATTCCTGAGTGCAGAGCCAGGAATAACCCCTGACCATTGCTGGGTGTGACCCAAAAAGCAAAAAAAAAAAAAATGTTAAAAGACCTGGGAACTATGGACCAGCCCAGAACTACCCCCATCACTTCTCCTGCATCAACTAGAATTAAACCTTTCAGCTTTAAGGATCCTCATCAGAGGGTGGTGGTAAGGAAAATGGAGATGACATTGGTGAAGTTTAGTATTGTTCCTGAGTCATTCGTTAAACTGGTATCATGTTGTTGCTGTTTTTTGTCTGGTCAGAGAAAGGACATTGAAGGTGGAGAATAGAGAAGAGACTGAGGAAGCAGCTTCCAAGTTTCAGATAGACTCAGATCAGGTTGGGAAGGGGACCAATGCGGTCATTTCTGGAACTCGCCCTGGTACAAAAGCAGCTGACTTTATCCTGTATAAGCAGCTCTCCTGTTTACCAACGGTACTAATAATAACCAGCTTGGCATCTGTTCAAATCTCCCCAGCACCGCCAGCTCCTGGAGTGCAGACAGCTCTCTGCCTCCTCCTCCTTCCTGACCACGGGAGCACCTGCCCAGCGGAGTGTGCCCCAAGTGGGTGGGTAGAAGGATTCGTAGGGAAGTATGGTACCAGTCCCGGAGGGTGAAGGAAGCATAACTCTTCCTGTAACCCAGGCATTTCTCTGTCAAACCACCATTCACATACCTCCACCAGCTGTTTAGAGGAGAATGTCCTCTGCTGTAGGGCTGGAGTGATAGCACAGCAGCAGGGCATTTGCCTTGCATGCAGCTGGCCTGGCCGAGCCAGGTTCGATTCCTCCGCTCCTCTCAGGGAGCCCTGCAAGTTACCAAGAGTATCTCGCCCGCACAGCAAAGCCTGGCAAGCTACCCGTGATGTATTCAATATGTCAAAACACAGTAACAAGAAGTCTCACAATAGAGACGTTACTGGGCCCACTCGAGCAAATCAATGATCAACGGGAAGACATTGCTCTGCTGTCAGCACCAGTGCTGGCCTGAACTTGGGGTACCGCCTGGGTCCTGCAGCCTACAGTTTTCATTTTGAATTTGTAAGGCTTTTAAAGGACTGATGACCTTTCCAAAGCTATTACATCTGGAAAACGAAGTTAGTGGCTTTGAGGATGAAGCAAAGAAAATTACCTCCCTCCTCCAAATAAAATGGATTAATGGCACCAATGTCCTTTGAAAATAAATGTTCGATTTAGAAGTAATTTCTCCTCTATTATGAGTTATTGTGACTTATTTCCTAACTGCTATCAGCAATGTGAAGGGAAGAGCAAGGTTTCAGATGGGCTGGATGGGAGGAAGAACAAGCCAGTTTATAGAATGGGGAGCAGGCTACAAGGAAGGAGAGGTGGCGGGGATGTCTGTGTGTTAGCAGGAAACCAAGCATTCTGGGTGGAGGGAAAGAGTGAAGAGAAGGCAGCCGGAGACATAAGACAAGACACAAAGTGAAGTAGGATAGCAATTTGGAAGTCTTGTTGCCTTTTTGCTGAACAATAAGAACAGCATAATTACAAGTCAACTCCTGGACGGCTTTGAGCATTTATGAGCTGCCAATGTTTTGCTTGCAGAATGAACACAAAGTAATTTGATAAACACCCACCATCCACCCCAGGGGAATGGACTCAACTTTATGCTCATTGCCCGTTGCTTCCTGACAGGAGCTCTCCATTCTATAAGAAAGTTCTAGACTCTACTTTGTGGTCTTCCACTTTCCTTGGCAAGAGCTGCATCTCCCTTAAAGCTATCCTCAGCACACAGTGACTCAGAGTGAACCCACCTCTTGTAATTTTGTTTGCTACTAGAAGAAAATTTTGGTACTTATTACCTTGTAATAATCAATGCATTTGCATTTATATTTTAAAATAAATAACCTTTTGCATTAAAATGAGTATGTGAAGGATGGGAATTAGACTGTTAATGATAGACACACGGTGTAGATAGATAGTATATGCAAATGTCCATTTATAGTATTGAACACCTAATAACATCTAATAATGCTATAAACCCAATGTCACTTAGGTAAAAATTGTAAAAGAAAAGTAGAAAAGTATCTCAGCCAGAAATACGAGATAGCATAAGTTTTTATATTAGGGAAAGCTTTCAATGCAGTGATAATAAATGAAATAGATATTTTGTAAAAAAGATAGTTTATGCTTGATTGATTATAAAAACTAGAAAACATCAGAAGCCAGGAATCTCCCCCCTTTCCTGTGCCCTCTTAAGGCTGACTTGGTGCTTTCAGAGGCTAACACAGAAGGGTAAAGTAAATATCTCCATAAAGTCAGAGAGGAGACAGTACAAACTCCTCCTTGGTTCCTGTCTGGAGTCATCACTGCCCACTGCCCCCCCCCCCCCACAAAAACAAACAGCAACAACAAAAAAGAATCCAGGAATCAGAAAATAAATCACATAGACACTTAGATCTTGGAATTCTTCCTGTCAAACATTTTACTCTCTATATTTTTCACATTTATCTAATACTATGGGCATATGCAAATTGTTTAATGTTTGCAAATTAATTACAGCTTTAATAATTAACAAAATACTGAAAATACAAAGATTAATTTTAAAATGTGGGCCAGGGTGCTGGGGAGCTGGCACAGGGCCAGGGTGCATCCTCCCAGCTCCTTTCCCACACACACAGTCCCAGCTTGGTTCCCAGCACTGACCCTCCGTTTCCACACAGCCACCTGTGTAGGCCTGGAACGCCCTCGTCCCCAGCATATCCAGGGAGCTCGGGTCTGTTCCTGAACCAGAGGGCCTGAGTACTTGACCTCTGACCTGCTTGGCAGAGTGCTGCAGGGAGTGACCCCAAGGCCTCTGGGCCCCCTCAATGCTGCTCTCTGTAAAATGTGAGTTAAGAAAATACAGGTTACTTGAATCCTTATTACAGTACTTCTAATACATGGAAATAATAACTCCATATATTTTGACTTGTTTCTTTATACTATTTCCCCAAATATCTTTTTTTATGAAAATAAGAACAAGTTGTCAGATTCTGATAGCAATAAAGAGAGGTGATAATTGCCCTTTGATAGTTTATTATGTTTCCCATATTTAAATTTTTTCAGAACCATTTAACCTACGTTTTAAAGATCAGAATATCATTATTCAAATTTCTCCTTCTCCTTTTCCTTCTCTTGCTCCTCCTCCCTCCTTTATCCTCCCTCCTCCTCCCTCCTCCCCTCCCCCCTCCTTCTCTTCTCCCCTCCTCCCTCCTCCTCTTTCTCCCTCTCCCCATGCTTTAGTCCCTCTCCTCCCTCCCTCTCCTCCTCCTCCTCTTCCTCCTCCTCCATCTCCACTCCTCCTTCTTCTCCTCTTCCTCCTCTTCCTCCTCCTCTTCCTCCTCTTCTACTGCCTCCTCTGCCTCCTCTTTATCATCAAAACCCCATCACCAATAGGAATTTCCCTCCACCAAAGTCCCCAGTCTGGGCTTCACTTCAAGGCCCCCTGACACAGGAAGAACCATGATGTTCCAATCCCTTAATATGAATAAGAAACATTACTATAATGACAAAGGTTGCATAATTTTAAATCTTATGGTAATGCTCTTACCATCACTGTCACTGTCACTGTCTCCCCGTTGTTCATCAATTTGCTGAGTGGGCCTAGTAACGTCTCCATTGTGACACTTATTACTGTGTTTGGCATATTAAATACATCACAGGTAGCTTGCCAGGCTTTGCTGTGCGGGTGAGATACTCTTGGTAGCTTGCCGGGCTATCTGAGAGAGGCGTAGGAATCAAAACTCGGTCGGCTGCGTGCAAGGCAAACATCCTACCCACTGTGCTAGCACAGCAGGTAGGGCATTTGCCTTCCACCTGGCTGACCCAGGTTCAATTCCCAGAATCCCATATTGCATATGGTCCCCTGAGCATCACCAGGAGTAATTCTTGAGTGCATGAACCATGAGTGACCTTGGGTGTCAGGATGGCCAAGTGGTCTAGGGCGCCAGACTCAAGCTCTTACCATAAGATTTAAAATTAATCTTATGGTAATGCTCTCGGGCTGGGGCGATAGCACAACAAGTAAGGCGTTTACCTTGCATGCAGCCGACCACGTTTTGATTCCTCTGTTCCTCTCAGAGAGCCCAGCAAGCTGCCTAGAGTATCTTGCCTGCAGGGCAAAGCCTGGCAAGTTATCCATGACATATTTGATATGCCAAACACAGTAACAACAAATCTCACAATGGAGATGTTACTGGGCCCACTCAAGCAAATTGATGAACAATGGGAGGACAGTGCTACAGTGCTACATGGTAATGCTCTTAACTAAGAAAAGGTAAAGCAAGTTATATCCTGAGAATATGTTAGGGGAGTCATGACCCAACAGAACATGGATGGAACAAAACATCACATGGATCTGGATTACTTTTACAATTGGTGAATAAACTTTCCAGAATTGTCCTTTCACTAGGACAATTACAGACGTGAAAAATCTATTCATGGTACTGGGAAGTCTCTAAACCTAACCGATTTCTGCATTTATTCTACCACTGTGACCCGTGGGTAACCTGTGGGAAGCAGCTTGGGTTGCCTTAGTGGGGACAGCTTTCTGACTGTAAACAGCAATATTTTATGTTCCCGTGAAATTGCCTCAAATAACCGCTTTGTTGTCACAAGGCGGGCAACTCTGGCCCTCTCTGTTGTTGCTTTTCATGTAAGCCTCTACTGTGCTGTCCCTCTGTGATATGGACTTGGCTAAGACATATGGCCAATAGAGCAGGGCTCTCTAATCTGCAGGGATTTTCCTTCCCCACCCTCACCCCAAATCAGTGAATTATTAGGAACACATATATAAATTGCTCCTAGTATAGCAAACTGAACAACTTTGTTTCGGCTGTCTACCCCAGGAGGTAACCTGGTAACAGAATGAAGAGTTCCTCTTTCAGATTTAGATGGTCTGGATCAACCAGAGTAGGTCTGAGTGTGGCCCATAAGAAAGTGGCAATAGATGGTGATTTTTCTTTTTGTCCCGTGGTTATTTCTGTCAAGGGTCATGTAAACCTATCTTCATATAATCCCAAATCTGAAACAAGATTTTGGGATTTTAGCAGTATTTCACTCCCTCTGACTATGGTACAGGAGCAGAGTCACTGAGAAGTGGAATGACTGTGTGTCTGAGCCCTATCTGCTCAGCATGTTCCTAGTTCCTGCACGGATGTCAGTACCAACATGTTGGAGAGGGGCACCGTGAACCAGACTCAGGATGTTGTTATGAGATTTCAAACCTGGTTTCTCAGTTTTTGTGAGGTGGGTAGGTTATTTTCCTTGCCCGTAAATTGGCTTGTTCTTTGGGAGTGCTTATGATTGACCTTCCACAACAACCCAAGCCCTAGTGCCAGGGGCAACATCCTCAGCTTTTGGTACCAATGCCAGGAATTCTCTTCAGTAGAATAAGGGCACTAATGAAACCATGTTACCCAGGGCTTCCTGCCAAGTACAGGGTACAACCCTAGAATAATATCACCAGTAAGAAAACCATTCTTTTTCTTTTTTTTTTCTTTTAGAAACCTGTCAAGTAAATCTGTGTTTCTATGTTCAGTGAAGACAACTTAAAAGTAAAAACTAGTGCTGGAAGTTATACAATTGTTTCTCCTAATATTCTGAAAAATTTCTATAATTAACCAAACATACATATTTCAGAAAGACTGTCTTCTATTTAGTTCTTTCATAAAAATTATTTTTGCTTAGTATTTATAATTTAATTTTCATAGCATTGTCCTTTTCCCTTAGTTTCTAAAAACATGAACAGAATTAATCCCCTTAACTATGCAATTTACAATGTAGAAAAAAACTTATTCTAGAACTAGTGCATTAACTATCTGTGTTCTTAAGGTGAAAGAATTTTATGATCCATCCATTTATTTTCTATAACTCAACTGAACATTGTGTGGGATTGTGTTCTGTTCAGGCAGTCATTTAAACTTTTTTAACTTTAGGGGAATTATCGAAACTTCTGTCCCTCAAGCAGGAAATCTCTGTGTAGAGTTCTGTTTCAATGTTGGTTGTTCCTGAACTGTCAAAAAATAGACTTTTGTGGCCTAAAAATAAACATAATAAGTTCTCTTATTCAAAAATGGCAGAACAGATTTCATACAACTGTTCTCCTAAGTTTACTGCATGACAGTAGTTTGGGAAATTTTAACACTCAGAATAATTCCATGGAAACTTCTGAGCATGAAAACAAGGGCCAGAGCAGAAAGTACATCCTTTCCTTCCTTGTGTGAAGAGAGATAAAATAGCATTTGCTCTGTGTGCTGGCAAAGAGGGAATTAATATACAAAGTGTTTCCATATAGGACCAAAAGCAAAAAGCAAAATAATAAAATAAAATAAATCCCCTTAGGAATGTTAAGACAATTTGTTTGCAAAGTTTGCCTTGGTTATTCCCCAAGTTTATCAAGATGTTCTTCTGTCTTGTTATTGTGGTTCAGTTTATGAGACCATTGTTCATTAAGAGAGTTCTAATTATTGTTCTACAAGTATTATTTAAAGAAAGGAATTCACTTAAAGAAAAAAATCAGGAAATACTTACATGGGGGCTAGAGAGATAGTACAGGAGGTAGGACATTCGCCTTAATGTGGCTAATTTGGGTTAGATCCAAGCATCTCTATGGAGCCAAGAAAGATCCCCATATTAGAAGTAAGCCCTGAACACTGCCAGGTGTGGCCCCAAATTCAACATCCATCCAATCCTCCCTGACCCCCCCAAAAGAGAAAGCCTTATTTAAAATTCAGTATAAAAAACACTGAATTTTAAATAAGGCTTTAATGCTTATTTAACCTCTGGACCTCAGAAAAATGCTGACTTAATGTGCAATGCAAATCTTCAAGAAACTTCTAGAGAATGACTATTGTTTGAAACTCCATTTTCTAGAAACATTATGAACTAATCACTTATCACTTAATCACTCAATCCCCGTTATTCATCGATTTATTCAGTCAATGAACTCCACATTGGAACCCATGGCCTGGAATGGAACGAACAGGGTGACAGACTGTCTGAGTTCATCATGTCAACCAAAACCTTCCATGGTAACTCACAATTCCAAAAGGCTGAATCTAAACGTTGGACATGGGAGTCTCCCGATGGATGGTTCCACAATGAAATAGACCACATCATATTCAATCGGCAGTTTTGCCTAACCAATGTTGCTGTTGTCCCAAAATTCCAAACGGGATCAGATCACCATCTTCTTCGTGCAAAATTCTACCTCACAGAAAAAGGAGAAAAGAATACAAGGTTTAAGAAGAGGACTCCCAGAACAACCACCAACTGGGAGCTCTTTGGCTCTATTGCGACAACATGGGAAGATGCCGTCATTGACAACAT